GGCCTTTCTCGCTTTCCGGGCTGGAGTTCACGTGACCCGCCTTGTGCTTGCTCCGAGGCCTTACAAGACATGACTGGCAACCGACACCAGTGGCACATATGCTGCCGTCTCCTAGTCGGACTGTCTGTCTAAAGTGTGTGTTTTGTGGTGATTTATCTGCGGGGCAACGTCTTATGATTACGCGGGTTTGTGCTCATTGGAACGAAGTACACTAAGGGTTGACGACCAAACTGGGTGCCGTTGGCCTTTCTCGCTTTCCGGGCTGGAGTCCACGTGACCCGCCTTGTGCTTGCTCCGAGACCTTATAAGACATGGCTCGCAACCGACACCAGTGGCACATATCCTGCCGTCCTCCTAGTCGGACTGTCTGTCTAAAGTGTGTGTTTTGTGGTGAGTTATCTGTGGGGTAATGGCTGATGATTACGCGGCGCAGTGAAAGCCGAAAGGAAGTTGTCTCACCGATGTCGTCTTAACTTTACACGATAGCCGGCTGTTGGTGATGGTATGTTGTCTACGCAAGGTGTAGACGCCTTGACACCGAATGTTTGTTTAGGGCATTAAGGTTTTCAAGTAAGTCCACTTCTCTCCCTCTTAGTACTTTTTACGTCATGGCGCATCATGATTGTATGGCAGCAAAGTTTCAGTTCAAATGACTGATGCACTGCTGTTGTTGTTGAGGATGATAATGATGATGATGAAGGTGAGACCTGATAGAAACGTTCAAGATTATCAAGGTTGTCAATGGCATTAAGCCTACCGATCCCCGTGAACTCGCTACATGGGACCACCTGCGGGGACACCACCTGAAGCACATGACACATAGGTCCAGAGTGGATATCCGGGCGAAATATTTCATTAACCACGTAGTACGCGGATGGAATTTAGTTCCCCTGCCCAAGTGGAATGTAATGATGTAGAAGCCTTTCAAAGAGGCCTAGATATGAATTGGTCCACTCTAGAAATACAGTGAGATTAGTGGATTCTGATTAGCACCAAATATTCTGTGGTCAGATAAGTTTGGTCGTCGAAGCGCTGTGGGCCTTGGCTTGCTTACCGGCACACGAAACGGGACGCTCGTTAGGCGAAGGTCTGTTTCGCCCCTAGAGACCTGATCTGACCTAAACTGAACTCACCAGCCCGTTTGACGACATCAGCTAAGGTGGATTCACGAAGCAATACAAAACGCTGTTTGTTTGTGATTTCCGTTTATGCTCCCACCGAATGCAGTTCTAATGCTGTCAAGGACACATTCTATCACGAACTGAACGTGCTACTACGCAGTGTTACTAGTTCAGATATTATAGTACTTGCAGGGGATATGAAGGCACAAGTAGGGCGTCTGAGCTCTTCAGAAGCTCAGCTAGGCGGTAATTATGGACTTAACTCCGAACGGACTGACGACGGCGAGCGTCTGCTGCAACTGTGTGCGGAGCATCAGTTGTTTCATAGTAACACTGCTTTTAGACACCGTGGACGTCCTCCTGTAGCTGGCCAGCGATGGACCCAAATTGACCACATAGCCAAAAGTTACAGGTGGCACGGTTCCATTCTGGATTGCCGCTCGTACTGGGATACCTGTGTCGACTCTGATCATGTCTTGGTGCGCTGTCGTTTCTCCATGAACTTTACCGGAAGGCGCACAAAGCGTCTCCTCCGATTGCCAACGGAGAAATTGTCCCAGCCCTCGGTCAGGCAAGCCTATCAAGAAGCACTGCATACCGAACTCTCGCTGTCTTGTCCTAATAACACTAAACTTCAGTGGAATAGGATCTCGGCCGCCATGCACGACGCAGGAGCATCTGCTTGTGGCACTATCAGTCGTCACCGCAACAGTCACTGGATATCCGAGAGGTCGGTGAACCTGTTGGAAGCTAGAAGACACCTCCCGGCTGGTTTTGAACACAATGTGACCAGACGGGCTATTAGGCGTGAACTAAAGCAGAGCCTACGTGCTGATAAGGAAGCCTGGTGGACCAGTCGGGCTCAAGAAATGGAGCAGGCAGGAGCAGTAGGCAATTACCGGAAGCTCTTCCAGCTAATCCGCACCACTGGTCCCAGAAAACCAGGCGTCAGTGAGACAATCAGAGACAGCGCGGGTGCGCTGATACACAAGAAGGAGCGCCGTATGGTTCGTTGGTCTGAACACTTTGAAGATCAGTTTAGCTGGCCCATAGCTCCCGAACCTCTTCCTACTCAGGTGATGCAGGACGTGCCATGGACGGTTAGTTTAGAGCCTCCGTCGGAGGCCGAGGTCCGAAACGCGATCACAGCCCTCAAACGTTTTTGTGCCGCTGGCCCGGATTCCCTTCCACCTACACTATTTAAGGATGGAGGTGAGGTCCGCTGCAAAGCATTGACCACCCTATTCGAACGTAACTGGAAGGAAGTGAGTGTCCCGGCTAACGGGAACGAATCGATTATAGTGGCAATATACAAAAGCGGCAGTCGCAAAGACTGTGCGAACCACAGGGATATTAGCCTAACGCCAGTTGTGAAAAATTACTGGCCTCGATGACCGTTCGTAGCCTCACAGCAGAACGGGAATCTCGGATTAGGGAAGAGCAGGCAGGTTTCCGCCAAGGACGTGGCTGTATAGACCATATATTCACTTTGCGGCAGGTGCTAGAGCAGCGCCACGCATACCGCAGACCGACAATAGCTGTTCCTCGATTTCAAGAGTGCGTTCGATTCGGTCGATTCTGTTCGAATGACTTGCGCGAAAAGGTGTTCCCACGAAATATGTGAACATCCTTCGTGCTCTATACTCGAACACAACGGACCACGTCAGGGTCTATGGTGTCCTATCGGATAGCTTTTCGACTACAAGTGGCGTTCGTCAGGGTTGTCCGATTTCCCGTTTTTGTTCAATTTCGTCGTGGATTCTATCATGGAGTTTTCCCTGACGGAATCCAACGATGTAGGCGTTGAAGTGCTGCTGGTGAAAAATTAGTTGATCTTGATTATGCGGACGATATCGTCTTGCTTTTCGACAATGTTGGCGGCGGCACAATCAACCCTGAACAGCCTGTCCAGAGTGGTCCCATTATTTGGTATGCACTTCGCACCTTCAAAGTGCAAAGTGTTGCTGCAGGACCACCAGCCACTTGATGACCCATTGACGCTTGCTAACGAGGAACTCGAGGTGGGTGATCATTTCACTTATCTTGGCAGCTGCATCAGCGATGATGAGTGCATAAAAACTGACGTGAGCTCACGCATTGCAAAGGCCAGAGCTGCCTTCTTGAACCTGCGGCATCTTTGGCGACAGAAGGGAGTTTCCTCCGTCTGAAAAACCGGGTATACAAGGCCACAGTCAGGGCCGTTCTGCTCTATGGTAGTGAAACTTGGCCCCTTCCGTCTGAAGATCCGGGGCGCCTTCAAGTATTTGATCATCGTTGTTTGCGAAGCATTGCTGGTGTCGGATGGCACCAGAGTATCCCCAACGATAATGTGCGTAAGCGAGTACTAGGTGGTGATAATCATGCTAGCACCCTAGAACAACAGATAGCACTGAATAAGTTGCGTTGGCTCGGGCACGTGCTACGCATGCCTGGTCACCGCTTACCTAGGAGGGCCTTGTTCAGTCTACCAGGTGTAGGATAGCGCAAGGCTCGAGGTGGACAGAAGTTAACTTGGCAGCAGAAAATGAAGTCACTGACAACCATACTGGGTGCCGTTGGTCCGTCTCGCCTTCTGGGTTGGAGTCCACGTGACTCACCTGGTGCTTGGCTCGAGAGTTTACAGGACATGGCTCGCAACCGACACCAGTAGCGCGTCTACTGCCGTCTTCTAATCGGATTGCCTGTTTAAAGTATGTTTGGTGCTGGGTTATCTGCGGGGTAATGGCTGATTATGACGCGTGGCAGTGAAAGCCGCAAGGAAGCTGTCTCGTCGATGCCGCCTTATCTTTGCACGATAGCCAGTTGTTTGTGACGGTATGTTGTCTACACAAGGTGTAGGCGCCTTGACCCCGAATGTTTGCTTAGGGCATTAAGGTTTTCAGGTAAGTCCCCCTTTCTCTCCCTTTCCTTATTCTTTATTCCATAGGTCCTCATGGTTGTATGGCAGCGAAGCATCAGTTCAAACGGCTGATGTACTGCTGTTGTTGATGATGATGATGATGTAGGCTAAGTTTAACTTCCTCCACTGTTTCGCACTCTAACAGCAGAAGCAAGTTTATTCCATACAAGGACAACCCGGTTTGCGAAGAACCTAGCTCTTAACTCCAGCCTAGATCTATGCTGCCTTAATTTCATACGATGGCCCCGCAAGTTGTCTGACGTAGTTGATCGAAAGCGGTCGATGAACCTGAGACGACGGAGACCTTTCATGATTTTGAACGTCTCGATCTCAATCTGCGTCTTCTCATTGAGAATAAACCAAAGTTAGCTAGCCTATCTCCATACGGTAACCTGCGCTGGCTTTTTGTCATTCATGTGGCCAGTCTTTGCACATTCGCAATACAAATAATACCTTTCTGCAGGTAGGGTGCCCATGTCTGAACACAGTATTCCAGATGTGGTCGGACCACAGCTTTGAACAAGAGAAGAAAGACCTCTGGCTTTGTACAACTGATAAGTCTCCTGAGACGAAACAACTCCTGTCGCGCTTTATCAGCCACATGCCTGTACTGCACCGAGGACTTAAAGTCACTCGTCAGGATGACATCTAGATCACGTGCCTTGGTGACATGATGCAGTGTTAGGGACCCATTAGATGTATACATAGTAAACTCTTCATCACGCATAGGATTTGTAATTTACTGGTGTTCAGCGGTAAGTCCTACAAATGGGACCAATTAAGAACGGTAGCAAAATCTCTTGATAACGAAGCGCTGTCTCCTCTGCTGACAAGTTCCAGGAATGATAAAGTAAAATAGCGCAGGTGACAAAATTGCGCAAGTAAACACTGTAAAAACAACATAATTGGTCAATATTATGTGGAATAATAAGATTCTAGGAGTTGTTGGATGATAAGTAAAATGGAATACGGGAACTCACAGGGTGGAATAACCGTAGCAGTCGAGCGGCGTACAACACCTAAAAACATTAAGGCATTGCTTGGTTCACGGTAATATCACACAATAAAAGTAAGCTTACTGTTCGATTAAACGCGGTTTGATTGTTATAGCAAAGCCGTAGCATGGCAGAGCAGCGTCTATGGAAAAACGCAGCCCAACAAAAGTGCAGATGATCTGGATGACAACCGAAGGTCACATTTAGGTAAGGTCAGATCACTTTCCAAGGACGAAACTGGATTCCCGCCTACCCAGGATCTTCCTTCTTGTAATGCAAAGCAATAATGGTCCCCAATAGTTTGATTGCTGTAATCTTCCTAGCCTCTACAAAAGAAAGGAAGCTAATCAAGTGCAACCTCTGTGGATTCTTAGACTATGGACCTCTGGTCTACAACGATTGCCAATGAATTTGTAAAAATCCTAGAAGTAGATTAAGGCCTTTTTTGAAAACTGTTACAAAGGCCTTCAATTAATTCATGAGGAATTTGGTACCATTATAAGCTCAAGTTCAGGTAGGCATGGAATGCCTGTTCCTGTGAGTAATACGCGGTAACTCGATATTTTGGCTTGCCATGTTGAATGAGTTCGGCGCGTTCGACGTAGCTGGAAGAGTTGGGCAACAGGCGAGTAGCACACAAGCGCGATGGACTACTGGATAGTCCATCGAACGACGAAGCGCATGAAGAAGAACGCGTACGGTTGGAACATGCAGGGTGTGTATTGCTTCCAGTAGCGTTAACAGCGGTACAACCAATAACGGAAACAAAAAGGGGCGGGAAAATGCGGATCGTTTAAGAGGGCGGTTCGTATTCAGTCACTTCGCACTCATTCACACAGCTCGTGTCAGTTACATTCGAGAAGTCGACTATTGTGAGATCTGTGAATAAACGGAGAAAGAAAAACACGGGTGAAAACCAGGTCAAAAAGCGTTCTAGATTTGAAGTTTTACATTATACTGCTCTCCTCTCTCTGAAAGGACACTGTCCTCAGTGTTCGTAACATCACTAGCTGGTTCTCCCTCGGGAGGAACCTCCACCTCCATCTCAGGTAATGGAACGTTGTCGGGGACGATATGGGTGTAAGATTATTGTGTCCGCGACTATTATGATAAGGTTTCAACTGATTGTAGTGTACCGTTAAAACATCTGCCTGTGGCTTCATAGGGTCTCGAAAAACGAACACCTTACCGGGTCTGCGGTGCACAATGACCTATGGCCCATGCCACAGATGATGGAATTTTGGGTGCGTGCCAGGTCTTGACTTTGGTCAATGAAGGAGGACCTAGTCGACGACTGTACAAACAGGTCCTTGGGCTCCGCGGTCGTAAGGCGTTTTCTGTTGCTGTTGTGAAGATAGGATACTTTGTCGTGCTTGTTGGAACGCACTGCATAGTTTCTGTCTAAGTCGTCGGATGTACTCGTCATGGTTGAGCGCCTCTGCCGGCACCATTGAGAGAGTGAAATCAACCGGTAAGCGCAACTCATGGCCCAGTTGCATTAAGGCTGGAGAGAAACCTGTAGAACTGTGCAGCCATGCACGATACGCCAAAAGACACTTCGGCAGGCACTCATCCTACTCCCCTTCGTAGTCCCACTCAACGAACACACATAGCATGCTCCTAAGGGTCCTGTTCGTTCAATCAACCAACCCGTCACGTTGCGGGTGGTATGCGGATGTCCTTGTCTTCACTATCCCATGTAGCTTGCAAATTTCCTTTAAAACAGAGTTTTCAAACGATTAGCCTCGGTCTGAGTGGATAAAAGGTAGCGCTCCGTAACGATAAATCCAATCGTTTATCATTGCAGTGGCGACCGAACAAGCCTCCCGTTGTTTTATGGGTACGGCTTCGCAATATTTAATAAAATAATCCATCATTACCAGTATAAACCGTTTCTCTTTCCTCGTGGTCGTCAGAGGTCCCACGATATCAACAGCTACACGATGATTCGCGCCTTCAATAGGCATTGGACACAACAAAGCTTTGGGGGATTTATTAGGTATTTTACTGTGCTGACACACATCACACTTTGGACAGAAAACAGTAACATCGTTGTGTATAAGCGGCCACCAAAATCGACGACGAACGGCCGCTTCGGTCTTGCGTTGGCCACCATGACTGGTTTCGACATGTACTTGTGCAACAGTTTGTGTACTTTGAGCCGAAGGACAACGATTCTCAGGGGGCCATCTTGATCAGAACGCACGTACAGCAGTTTGTCGATAACTACCAGTTTGGGCCAAAGATTCCACAGACTTCTTGTTGCTTTCGAGCGGCCAGCCAATTCGCTCCCTGTAGGTTTTGGTCCGTCGGTAAGCTGTCTGGAGTATTTTAAACCGAAATCCAGATCAGACGCCTGCAACGAACTCCAGTGCTCAGTGCCAGCGACGTCAAAAAGCGTGGCGACCTGGCCTTCGTCTGGTGGGCGTCGAGAAAAGCATCAGCATTGGCATGCTGTCTGCCGGACGGTACTGACAAGTGAACTGATATTCTTGAAGACGCTCGTGCCATGGCGCAATTTGTCCTTGTGGATCGCGGAAGTTCTTCAGCCACTGGAGTGATCGGCGGTCGGTGGGGACTACGAAGGACCGACCTACCAAGTACCGGCGAAAGGGATTAAGGAAGTAGACCAGGGCCAACATTTCGTGACGTGTAGTGGAGTATCGTCGTTCACGCTTATCTAACTGGCGGCTGGCGTAAGCTATCACCTTTTCGTTTCCGTCTTGGCATTGCGATAGTACTGCTCCTATGGCTGCTTCACTCGCATCGGTGTTCAGTTTGAACGGCCCGGCATTAGGTGAGGCATCAGGAAACGCTAGTATAGGTGGAGATGACAAAGCATTTTTTAACGTCTCGAACGCAAGTGCACACTCACTGGTCCAGACGAATGAGCGACCTTGTTCTGTGAGACGATGCAAGGGGGCCGCGATCGCAGCGAAGTTGTTAACGAACTTCCGATAGTAGAATGCGAGTCCCATGAAGCTCCGAACCTTGTTCGCGTTGCATGGGGTTGGCCAGTTGAGTATCTACCCGATCTTTTCTTTCCCATCTTCGCACCCTCTATCGGATATTATGTGGCCAAGGAAAGAGCTCTGTTTTCGAAGGAATCTGCATTTTTTGTTTTTAGAGTTAAACCGGTGTCGCGTAATCTGCTTAGCACTTCTGCGAGCCGACGATTGTGCTTTTCTTCTGATCTGCCATGGACAATGATGTCATCAAGATAAAGCAAGCAGCGATGTGGAACCAGCTGCCATAACACTTTTTGCATTAATCCCTAAACGTGGCTGGTGCATTAGTGAGGCCGAACGGCATAGTTTCAAACTCATACCATCCGGATGGAACTGCCAACGCTGTCTTTGGTTTGTCAGAAGGATACACTTCCACTTTCCAGTACCCGGATGCCAGATCAACCGTTGAGAACCATCGGCTCCAGTAACTGCTTCAAGGATGGTATCAATCCTTGGGAGAGGGAAGGAGTCCCGTTGTGTGATCGCATTCAGTTTACGGTTATCTACGCATAACTTCAATCCTCCGTCCTTCTTATTAACGAGAACTATAGCGGACGACCAAGGGGAAGAAGATGGTCGGATAATCTTTTTGCGCAGCATGTCCTTTATCATTTCGTCTATTTGCGGCTGATAATGGATGGGCACACGTCTAAACTGTTGTAGTACCGGATGATGACCCATTATATCAATTCTGTGTTGCAGTATGGCAGTCCTCCCAGGATGGTCACGATTAACCTCGAGTACATCAGAAAATTGGTGTAAAAGTTGACCGTAGGTTTCTTTGCTTTCAGACCCAGCCTGGACGGCCTCCAACACTTTAGCCAACCAATGGCCATCCGAAGGTTCGGAGCCCTCCACCATTACCCGGAGGAGGTGTGCGGGCAGAACACTGCTATTTTTGGAAACTAACAGAACGCGTTTTAACAGCTATTACAGCGTCATGCGTCTCGAGGAAGTTAATGTTCACTATTGCGTCCCAGGTGATAAGAGCCACAATAAAAAAACCACACATTAAGTTGAGCGTTTCAACGTCAACCCGTCGCCGGGAACCGCCGTGAGTTGGGATCCATGACCGTTAGATGTGGTCAGCTGGGTAGTGTGTGAACCTGGTGCTACTCTAAATGCACAACCGAAAAAGTTCGTTCGTAGAACTCAGCATGTTGCACCTGTATTAATAAGTAGCTGGGCTTGGTGGTCGTATGTCAGGCCGGGCCTTGTAAAGGGGGACATAGAGACCTTGCACGTAGATAAGCATACCGGTAACACGGAGATTGAAGGGGATTCACCGTTGCTTTTTCGTGGCTTCAGGGGCGGGTTATGACCGCATCGCTGGGCTCTGGTACCGAACCTTCGACAGTAAGGGCGGTTCTGACGGTCGCGTGAGTCCTTCCGTTGGTGACTTCCAGGATAGACATATGTTGCATGAACTGACTTGGCGGCAGGGGTGGCTTCGACCAAGGAAGTTCGTCGTCTGTCTGCATGTAATTGTTCAGCACCTTCATAGCTGACTGCGATGTCTACTGTCTCTTCCAACGATCGCGGCGGCTTGCGAATGAAGTTCGATAGTAGTGTGTGGTTGCTTACTATGACACGGAAACGGCGCAGTAACTCTTGCTTTACTTGAAGTTGAGCCATATCGTGGACGGACTTGGCGGCTAACTCTAGCAGGACCCTGCGGTATGCTCGAGTGTCCTCCGAAAGAAGCTGACACCTCGCGTAAAACGACAGCAAGTATGTGGCGGTGGACGTTTTTGTAGAATATAGTGTTCGAAAGCGCGACCAAATGGCTTCCAGGGGTGCGTCCGACGCTAAACGGCAGACCAAAAGTTGCCGGGCGCCCTGGTCACCAAGGAAGCTCATGATGTATTGTTTTTGGTCCCGCGGCGAAACGTCCACCAGGTAGTTGCGCATACGATCTTCCCAAAGTTCAAAGTCATCACCAGCGTTGAAGACAGTAGGTTGTCGCATTGCGGGGCGGTTGTTTGCAACGCAACATGACAATTTGTAGAGAACAAAGGGGGTGGGAGGCTGAGTGGCTCGTCTTTGTCAATAGGATCCATGGAGTTAACACCATTGACACCAAAGTGTTGAATGCGTTCGGCGCATTCGACGTAGCTGGAAGAGTTGAGCAACAGGCGAGTAGCACACAAGCGCGATGGACTACTGGATAGTCCATCGAACGACGAAGCGAATGAGGAGGAACGCGTACGGTTGGAACCGGCAGGGTGTGTATTGCTTCCAGTAGCGTTAACAGCGGTACAACCAATAACGGAAACAAAAAGGGGCGGGAAAATGCGGATCGTTTAAGAGGGCGGTTCGTATTCAGTCACTTCGCACTCATTCACACAGC